GGACCCAACAGCTTGAAACTCATGCCAGGTGCATGCCCAAAATCCTGAGAGAAAAATGAAAGAGAAGGGATGGCCATCCTCCCTGGGAGGTGATTTCTCACTTTCTCTCTCTCTGTCTCTCTCTGTCTCTAGCGAGTGCATGCACTATACAACAAAAATTTCTCTGGGGGAAAAAAATATATATTTTGTGGGTCAGCAAGTGGTGTGGTGGATGGGACACTGGATTTTCACATGGCTGACTTCGGTTCAAGTCCTGACCTGGTAACTGACATTCTTACTTTCCTTCTCTGTCTCTCTCTCTCTGGTGAGTGCACATGACCTCTAGCAAATTAAAAAATAATAATGATAAATTAATATTATTTAAAAAAGAAAAAGTAATTTTGAGGAGCCAGCAGGTGATGTGGTGGTTAAAGTGCTGGGTTTCCACATGGCCAACTATGGTGCAAGTCCCAGACCAGGCAGTTTAAAAATCACTCCAGGTGTGTATACATTTGCATCCAAAATCCCAGGAAGAAGAAGAGGAGAAGGGACTGAAGACTGGCCATCCCCTTGGGGGGGTTTTTTCTCACCTTCCCTCTTACCATCTTTGCTCCTCTCCAGTAAGCACACGTCTTATGGCAAAAATCTTGGGGAAAAAAAAGGGAGGGCTGGTTTTTGAGGGCTGGCCCTATGGCACAGCGGTAGTACACTGCTCAGGAGAAGCTGGCCCCCACACAGTGACTACAGTCTGAATCCTGCCCAGCCAGCCTGACAGGCCAGGCACATGTGTGAATGCCCAAGAGCCAAACGGCTGGAGGACTAGAGAAAGGGGTCTGTGGTGTGACCACACCCTGTAATGGTTGCTCATCTTTCTTTCATTCTCTCATATGCTCATGCACATTTATTATAAATAAATGAAAAAAAATTAAAGTGATTTTGAAGAAAAACATCTCAGAAACATTTCTTCCCAATTCAATGGTTAAAAGTTTACAGATAACTAAAATATCTAATAGAATATGTAACTAAAGCAATACTGAATATAAAAACATTTTATTTATTTGATAATTTGCAAGGCCCTTTCAGATCACCCATTATTACTCACTGTTTATAGTGTAATAAAAACATGCCAGTTAAAGTAGATTTACTACTGCATATTATTTGGAAATCATGTCAAAATAAAATGTCATTTCTAATTATTTCCCCTTAAATAGCATAAATAGCAACAACGTACCCTTCTTCCTAACAAAGTACACTTCTTCAGTGCAAGGACCACCAATGAGTGTCTCACAAAGTCTAAAGACGATCCATAAAGCTCTGTAACTACACTATATGAAAGCAGACTTCCTTGGCTTTTTTTTATTTTTATTTTATTTTTTGAGAATAGTTATAAAAATTCCAAACAAGAACTCTGTAGCAAAGAATGGTTACATCTAACTATAGATGAACACTGATTTGGGAAGATTCAACTTTATGATTCTTTGACTTTATATGATATGAAAGCAATAAAAACTTTAGTAGAAACCACACTTAGAATTTTGAACTTTTGGGAACCAGCAGTTAGCATAATGGCTATGTCGCTGGACTCCCACGTAGTTGACCGCAGTTCGCGTCCTGGACCCAGTGGCTTAAAACTCAGGCCGGGCGCGTGTGCATGCGTGCCCAAGATCCCAAGAGGAGAATGGAGGAGAAGGGATTGCCGCGTGACCATCCCGCCTGGGGGGTGATTTCTCGCTTTCTGTCTCTATTCTGTCTATCTGGTGAGCGCACGCGCCCTACAATGAAAATCTCTCAAAAAAAAAAAAAAAAAAAAGAATTTTGAACTTTTGGACTTGTATTACAAATAGATTTTTGTTAGATGATTTTGCCCAACTGAAGACTAATGTAAGTGTTCTGAGCACATTAAGGTAAACTAGGCTAAGCTATGATGTTTAGTAGGTTAGGTGTATTAAATGCATTATCAATTTTTGATATTTTCAATTCACAATGGGATTATCAGGACATAACCTCATGGTAAGCTGAAGAGCATATGTATAGGCAAAGGTTCACTTATTCAACTACAAAGACCTCTCCTGCAGCCATGATAATTAGGTGATTTGTTATGTTTATGGTTGTTTTACACAGCAAATGTAATAACAGTGGAATTCTAGAACTTCTTAAATGTAAAATAAGTTTGAGTTTGAATTAGATATCAGTGAATCTATTCATATTTGGAATGTATTTAATAAGACCAAACTGGTAGCTTTTTTTCCGAGTTTTTTTGCCATAGGGTGTGTGCACTTGCTAGAGAGACAGAGACAGTGAGAAGGAAAGTGAGAAATCACCGCCTAGAGGGGATGGCCATACCACAATCCCTTGTCCTCCATTTTCCTCTTGGGATTTTAGACATCCATGCACACATGTCTAGCATGAGTTTCAAGCCACCGGGTCTGGGACTTGAACTGCAGTCAGCCCTGTGGGAATCCAGCAACATAACCACTATGCCATCTTCTGGTCCCACCATTATCTTAATTAAGGCTGAAATAATATTTTTAAATGTTTTACTCTATTATTTGTTAAAAAAATAAATCATGATTTTAAAAAGTCATATAATCTATAGAAAGACAATTATTTTGCTTATAATAATTAATTGATATAAAATATATGTAAGGAGGATGCCGAGGATTACTTACCATTTTCTTATACAAGATTGCAAGATGCTTCACTGTATATGCCAATGAAGGGTGATCAGGAGCTAAGGCCCGTCTCCGAATGTCTAAAGCTCGTTCATAAAGTTCTTCTGCTTTATCATACTGTTTCTTCTCATTGCATAGAGCCGCCAGATTATTCAAAGACTGGGCACAGTCAGGGTGATCCAGTCCTAGCACTCGTTCCCTCATTTCTAAGGAACGCTTCAGAAACTGTTCAGCTGCCCTATGAACACAACCCCAAGACAGTTTAAGCAACTTATTCTCTAGAGATCAGAATCTGAAGCACCAGTTAAGTGGAGTACTCAATCATTTTTATTCTTGAATTCAAGTTAAAATGAAGAATTCAGCTTAAAATCTTCTATTTCCCACTCACATCCCTTCCTGCCCTTTTCTTGATAGTCTGAAAGCCCCAAGTATCTGCATAAATGCTTCATTTCTTCACTTCACTCTAAAAGACAAACTTATACTTAGTTTCCAAAATAAATTTTTATACATTAAAAAAAAAAAACTTTAGATCTAAGTCAAGCAAAAAATTTTGGTATTAACTCTTTCTCTTTGGAAGACCACAGTAAATAATCTTTTGTAAAAGTACCTCTGTTGAGACGAGCAGTTAACATAATGGCTATGCTGCTGGACTCCCATGTAGTCAACCACGGTTCAAGTCCTGGACCCAGCGGCTTAAACTCACACCGGGCGCGTGTACGTGCATGCCCAAGATCCCAAGAGGAGAAAGGAGGAGAAGGGATTGTGGCATGGCCATCCTCCCTGGGGGGGTGATTTCTCGCTTTCTATCTCTCTGTCTCTCTCTGTCTGTCTGGCGAGCACACGTGCCCTCTAGTGAAAACCTCTCAAAAAAAAAAAAAGTACCTCTGTTAAGTTGGCTAAATATTTGCTAGATATTTTTCTGTCAGCTAAAATTTCAAGTTTATTATATTCTTATTTTTATTATTATTATCTAAAGGAGTCGCCAAACACTTTTTTTCAGAAAGTACTAATATAAAGGCTATTTTTTTGTTTATTTTAAATAAACTGGTGAGTAAACCTAGCAGCCATCAACATTCTTTTCTTTATTTTCCATAAGGCTCAAGTTTCTTCTTCTGAGAGAAGTCTCATGTATAATGTCAATATAAACTCACTTTTATCTTAAATATATAAGAGATACTAGAGGAGCTACAAAATAACTTTTTAGTTAAGAAACAATACGAAAGGAAATAGAAAAAAATGCCATGACCTGTAAGTGTGAGTATATTCATAACATAATATCATGAAATTTGGCATGGTTTTTTTAATCAACATTCTAGCTCTAAACTTGATAGTTTGCATCAAAAAGACAAATGGATATTTATTTTCATTGTCACGCCATGGTACTCACTCCAGGTTATTTTGAAGATAGTAGAGAACACCTAGTTCATTGAGCGTCCGAGCATTATCTGGTGTGTCTTTACCTAATGTGAGCTCTTCTAACTGCAATGCCCGTCTGCGTAGGAAGGCGAATCCATACTGGAGCAAACACAAAAAATTAAAAACACTCACTGATTCTGAAACAACATATTGTGGTCCTAAAAAGTTCTTTTTCCCATTTTCCCCTTTAATCTAGATAACAATTTTTTTTTTTTTTTTTTTTTTGCCATAGGGCATGTGAGCTCACCAGAGTCAAACAGAAAGACAAAAAGGGAAACTGAGATATCACCCTCCCCTCTGTTTGCCATGCTGCAATCCCATTCTTCTCCTGGGATTTAGGGTACATGCACATATGTGCCCAGTGTTTTTCAAGCCACTAGGTCTGGGGCTTGAACCACAGTCGGCCATGTGGGAGTCCAACTCTTTAGCTACCATACCACCTGCTAGCCCATGACAATTATTTTAAGTATCATCCTAAATTACTATAATGGTTATTAAGAATATACATATTTCCACATGGTACCACATTCTAAAATTCATAAAAAGCTATTTTGTGGAAATGATTATGGGATATTTTAGCAAAGTATAATAAATGATAGCTTAAAGTGTTTCAAAAAGATTTGGAAATAGACTTGTAGATATTTATCAACCTTATTACTAAATACTTAAATATCAGGTACTTAAAAATACACATAACATTTTTAGCTAAACACACCATGTTCAGATTATTTCAACAACTTATAAAAATAACTTTCATGAGTGCTCAAAAAATTTCTTTGTAGGGAACCAGCAGTTAGCGTAATGGCTATGTCGCTGGACTCCCACGTAGTCGACCGCGGTTCACGTCCC